GGGCAAAAAACGGTGAAAGCTAACGTACGAAATCAGAGGGCAGCACACGATGCGATCGCACGACCCTGCCCGTGAGCAATCTCCCAACTCATCTCTGTCCAAAAAGATACAATACAATACAGTTCATGCTGCCCTGCTCAGTAGAATTCTATGGGTGTCTGGATTTATCGCTCGTGTTTTTCAAGTCGAGCTCATTAGAAGTTTTTTCTAATATTTGAAAAAGTGCAGTTGAACTAGTAATTAAAAGTTTGACTCAATTCTCTATTCAGTTTAGCGCAATGGATAAACGCGCGGCGAGGTATTTGGAATATAATGACATGTCGACATGAAACTAACCTCAATTTCTGAAATTTAGAGAAATTAAAGAAACTCTCGACATGTCGGAAACCGCTAATAATTCAGAAGAGGGCAAGGAGGAGGCAGTCCAATTGCCCTCTGAAGAAGATACGCAATTTTTACGAGACTACGTAAAAGAGGCGGAACAACGGTTGGCGGCGAAGGAAGAAATTCGCACGGCCAATTTGAATGTTACGCGCCCACCAGACTCGTACTTTAGTAAACTTGATTCCAGTTTAAAGAGGAACACCACTTTTGTTAAAAAGCTTAAAAACTTCAGTGCCACCCAATTGGACACGCTTCTTAAAGATATGGCAAATTTAAACTTGACCAAATATGTAAGCGAAGTTGCAACAGCCTTAGTCGATGCCAAACTTAAAATGAACGATGTTTCTCCTGCGATAAAGGCATGCAGTTTCTTACACCAGACATACGCCGATTTCTCAACGCATTTCTTTGAAAACTGGCAGCGAGTACTGTCTTTGAAAGTTGGAGAAAAGATTGCAAATCCTAGTAAATTACGAGTAGATCTCAGGTTTTATGCAGAACTTGTAAATGCAGGTATCTTTACACATAAACAGGGTTTACCACTGCTCGGTTCAGCTCTCACTGTTTTAATTAACATGGACAAGGAAGAACATAACAATGCAAGTATTATCTTGAGTTTTTGTCGCCATTGTGGAGAAGACTACGCAGGACTAGTTCCTAAAAGGGTCAGAGAATTGGCAACGAAATTAAATGTTGCTGTCCCGAAAAGTAAGTTGCTTTCTCCGGATAAGCAACACAATGTTAAATTACTTTTGAGAGACTATTATAATTCATTGTGTAAACATTTACTGAAAGAACACAAGGAGTTACAGGCTTTTGAGAAACAGAATCGTAAGATATTACAAACCAGAGGTGAATTAAATTCTGAGAGGAAAGAGAAATTGGAGGCCTTACAGTTGTCATATGAGCGATTGTTGACTAGTGTTCAAAACTTTTCGGAAACCTTAGATGAGCTTATGCCAGAACTTCCTGTAGATGCCGAAGTAAAGGCAGAAACCGAAGAATCGTCAAAGAGAATCAGCGAAGGAGAAGAAAATAGCAGTTTGGAGGATATGTGGGGTGACGAAGAAACTAGAAGATTTTATGAAGTGTTACCTGACTTGACCGTCTTCCTTCCTGGTTCTTATTTGAAAGAAGTTCCAAAACCTGATCTGCCAATAACAGAAGAAGCTTTAGATGAAGAAATTACATTCGACGAACTCGAAGACATAGAAAAGGTTGATGAACCAGAACCAGATGTTGAAGAGCCACATGTTTCCAATATAAGTAACAAAATATTATTGGATGCTTTTCTTACTCATTTGCCAAATTGTGTCAATCGAGAAATGATAGACAATGCTGCCGTCGACTTCCTGATCAATCTTAACACAAAACATAATAAAAAGAAATTGATTAAAGCATTGTTTGGGGTATCAAGGATTCGCTTAGACTTACTGCCATTTTATTCACGTCTTGCAGCAATCTTATACCCTGTTATGCCAGATGTTGCAAATGATCTGTGTCTTATGTTAAAACATGACTTTAAATATCATGTTCGCAAAAAAGACCAAATCAATATAGAATCAAAGGTCAAAGTTGTAAGATACATTGGTGAACTCGTTAAATTTAAATTGTACTCTAAAATCGAAGCTTTGTACTGCTTAAAAGTACTCCTTCACGATTTTACACATCATCATATAGAAATGGCGTGCAATTTGTTGGAAACTTGTGGAAGGTTTCTTTTTTGCTCGCCTGACTCACACCGAAGAACTAAAGTGTATTTGGAGCAAATGATGCGAAAGAAAGCAGTAACTGCTCTTGATTCACGTTATGTCACAATAATTGAAAATGCATACTATTTTGTGAACCCACCGGAATCAACAGGAGGAATCACAAGAAAAGAAAGACCACCTATGCACGAGTTTATAAGAAAATTATTGTATCAAGATTTGTCTAAAACAAACACAGATAAAGTGTTGAAGTGGATGCGCAAATTAGACTGGGAGGATGAAAATGTTTCCACTTATGCCATAAAGTGTTTGACTGCTGCATACAACGTGAAGTACCTGAATATTAGATGTGTTGGAAGTTTACTCGCAGGTCTTGTTGCTCATTATGAAGCCATAGGACCATATGTAGTGGACGGAGTTCTTGAAGATATCAGACTATGCATGGAAATCAATTTGCCCAAATACAATCAAAGGAGAATAGCTATGGTTAAATACTTAGGTGAATTATATAACTATCGCATGGTAGAAAGTGGTGACATATTTAGAACTTTGTACCTCTTGATTACTTTTGGTGTAAGCATGGATTATTCGGCTCCATCGTTACTGGATCCTCCCGATCATCTGTTCCGAATTAGATTGGTCTGTACACTCTTGGAGACGTGTGGGCAATACTTCAGTGGTGGATCCAGCAAAAAGAAATTAGATTACTTTCTTATATTCTTTCAGAATTACTATTGGTTTAAATACAACGATCCTATTTGGACTACCGAAAATCCTTTCCCTGTTGGAATCGATTACATGTACCGTGACATATTAGCGATGCTGCGACCAAAAATGCAACTATTTCAAAGTTATAAAGAAGCACAGTGTGCAATCGATGAGTTAAGAAACACCTTATATCCTACTTTATCAAATGTTTCTAAAGAAGAAGGCGCGGAACGTATCGAAGGAGAATCTGATATGGGTACCATACCAGAGATGGATGAAGAGCCTAGTGTGACTCCAGGTAACGGCAGTGGTGATGCAAAAGGAATGGCTGAATTGCACTTTGAAGAATCTGAGGATTACTCTGAAGCTCAATCAGAAGAGGAATGGACAATGGATGGTGAAAGAGATGACAACGCAGGGACTCAGGAAAATACTCAGGGAGATCAGAGTCTCTCGGAAGGTTGCAATGAAGGTGTAATAATGGATGCTTGTGAATTAAATGCTGCTTTGCCATCTGGTCCCAAACGAGTAAATTGTCCAGAGGACGATGACTTCCTTTCTGCACTTGATAAAATGGTGTCCGACAACATTCAAGACAGAATGAGAGATTCCGTAAAGTCTCAGCAAGTGGACATATCAGTACCGTTACATGTAAAAAGTACAAAGAAGACTTACGAACAGTTGCAAGAAGGACCCTCTGATAATACTACAGTAGATTTTGTACTCATGGTAAGAAAAGGTAACAAGCAACAATACAAGAATCTGGCTGTACCAGTATCTTCGGAGTTGGCCATGAACTTGCGAAACCGCGAACAAGAGCAGAAAGAAGAAAAGGAAAGAGTTAAACGATTGACGCTGAATATTACCGAGAGACAAGAAGAAGAAGATTATCAAGAAACAATAAATCAAGGTACAAGACTAGTAACTGTCAATTTGAACAGAGAACGGAGACAGAAATACAATCATCCTAGAGGAGCACCAGATGCAGATCTGATTTTTGGTTCGAAGAAGATTCGATAAAGGCACATATTTCAATGACGTACAAGTGTCTGGAGTTCTGTACATAAGAAGATTCATCAGGTCATCAGATCATATATATATAACGAAGATATATTTTGAAAAACTATTTAAGTTTACATTTTTAATTGTCATTATTTGAGTAAATGTTAATACCAGTTGTAATTTTACTGAAATTTTAACGAATTATCGCAGAAACCTTTCCACGTTTTCTTTCATGTTCAAATACATACATTTGATAATATTGCTGTGAATTTTTGCTATATGACGATACATAAAGTGGTTTGCAGTGTAGTAAACTGAACACAATTTTAATTAGAGAATGCAAGTTCGATAAATTGTCACACGAAACTTTCAATATTTCATCCATAGTTGCAGTATACTATTATATAATCCTCTGTGAGCTACTTTAACAAAATAAATTGGTAGCAGCAGATTTATAAAATGTCACTCGATCGTTTATCCTTTCTTAAAATGTTTTAATATTTATGTAAACTGCCCCGTTTAATTTGTGTATTTTTCATTCAATATTTTCTACATTTTCATTAATATTACTGCTCCTTTTAAATATTTCAGTTACTTTGAAGAAAATAATCATGAATGAAATGGAATGTTTTATTTTGTACCGTTGTTCTTGCAGGAATAATGCATAGCTGTATAGCTATTACTGCTTTCTTTTAGCATAATAGTACAATATCCTGTTATGTTCTAGACACACTAGTAAAAATTACTACATTACGAATAAAAGTTATCTTAACAATGCAACATATTAGTTTCAAGTACATATAGTATTTAAAATACCTTTAAAAGTTACATTGCAGATATTTTTTTAATAAACATTTCTAGTTGGCTGCAGAATAAATTTGTTAATCTTTAAACAAATATTTTTGTTAAACGAGATATTATGACCACTTAGTTAATTTGATTCATAAATTTGATCAATACTGTATCTTTAGAATTCCATACTGATGACTGTTTTTGACAGTATATTTAACGGTAATAATAGGTGTAAGTACACTTACTCTAATGCTTCAAAATATGATAAGCGAAAAGTTATTGAACTAAAAGTAGCCTATTTAACTCAAAAACGCTTATAATTGGCTATATTTAATTCAATTATGAAAATATGGGCCATGTAATATTCGTTTCGATAAGTGCCCATATTTAAACATGAAGTTGTAAATCGTTACAGTAACTAGACTGTATATAATAGAATGTTGCACTTTTATGCAAGGACTTGCATTTGGAATATAAATTGTGACATAAAAACATGCATTTCACGTTTGACGCGAAAATAGGTAATTTCTTTGTAACAATACTGAGTACAAATAAAACACAAATACTTTATGAAATTGTTTTTCAATGACAACATTAATTATTATAATCCTATTGTACACTGGAAACAAACAAGATACTTTCACAAGCGTCAACATTTATATATGATTTAAAAATTATTTTACAATATTCTAAAAATTAGAATACTTAAAAATGATCAGTATAAAAAAAATGTCAATTTCTAACTATTTATTTTGTCTAAGAAATTATTATCATGTACAAAATGAATATAAATAAAGTTTAGTGCTCCAAGGTTTATAAAACCTCCATTATGTTATAATAGTAAGAGGGTGTATCTATTCGAATACGCGAATGTAGTAACAGAGGTTAACAAAACTAAAAGACACAAGCATATAAGTCGTGTTGAATTATGTCATGGTATCTTACGGATCTTCTTCCGCATCTTCAAATTGTCCTGTTTCTACATCCATCGCTTCATCTGTTTCGGTACCATTGTGGCGCATTTGTTCTAAAAAATAAAATAAAATGAAAAACATTATATTTACTATTCTTATTATTAAAAGTATTAGTACAAACGAGTATAAATGTAATTACCAGATGGTAGTATGTAAGGAGCATCGCCAGCACCTACTTCAAAATATTCAAAGTCATCTTCTTCTTCTGCATCTTCATAAATGTCCTCTTCCGCTATTAGGATGAACCAGATCATATTTAGTAAATCAATAACGTAATCTTAAGAACAGTATATCATATTGCAACAATATTCCTATGTCCATTGATTAAGCTTGATAAGAAACACAAACTTATTAGTATATATGTTAAGTAATTAAAATACCATCCGAGAAACTGTCTTGTGGGTCAGGATGAAGTGCTTGGCAGTCAATCATAGCTTGAAACATTGCCTCCAAGTTATTTATATTATCGGGGGCAAACCTCATTTCAGTCATTGGAGAATCAGAATCCTCTTCTTCATCTGGTGGACTGTTGTTTTCAGATGATGTCACATCTATGAATATAACGTAATATGCAACACCTTATTGCTTAGAACGTATACATATAGTACAAATATTTTACGTATTAATAACAATTTAAAGAAAGAATATTAATTCTTATAATGCGATTTAAATAAAAACCAAATTCGCCTGAGATTCCATTGATGTAAATCTATACAGTGAGGATAAAACTATTCAACTCATTGTAAAAAGAAATGATCATGTATAACTTTTTTGTGCCTTTAGTAGGAAATTTGTAAGTAATATTTTACTATTACAAAAATATCTTTGATTCAGCATGACCATTAATCATAACTATTTACCTGGCAGATCAACCTTGGTATCAAGCATGATATACAGACACTGTCGTGAATGTACTTGTTCATCTCGCGAGACTGCATGGATCGAGATATGAGGATATTCCAATGAAAATCCCTGCTGATTATTAGTATCAATCCACGACAATGAACTATAAAAAAACAGGTAACGATCACTTCTACCTTACGACTTATTCCTTTTCATGGTAATATAATATTTACATCAGTGATAAGTACAATATTTCACATTAACTCTTAACAAAATTTATAATAAACTATAGAAAACAAACCTTTCTGCTATATATATAGTGCCCTTTCCCACTTCCCTATCGTTAACGTACAATGTTGTATCAGGTTCCTCATGACGAATACCTTCCTGAGGTGCCAGGAAATTACTCAGAACTACCATATTTGTCCTGTAATGTGAAGTGCCATTAGGTGAAAAAATAAAATAATCATATTCTGTAACACAAATGTACCGTTCTACTTTATTATCATGACAGTATAAAATATTTTTTACTTTTTGAATGAAAATGATATAACAATTACTTGTTTAAAAATATTAATATCCATGACGCTACTATATTCACATTTACTTTAAATCATTCGCAGGTTTGTAACAATTATTAGTTAGTAAATACCTGAAAATCGAAATCGGTTGGAAAAGCAAAATTTCTTCTGGTTGCTGAACGACAATTATTTAGAGCTTAATATTTCAGCTTATGGATGCAAGTTCAGGATTTGTTTTCTGTCACAAATAGAGAGAATCATCTTCTTCGACAAGTCTACTTGAAGATTGTTACAGAGGGATACCGAACTTAATGGGAATATGCGAAACACAATTGATGCAGCAATATCTCCAATACTATGGATACAAAACACACGAATGTCGGTAATCGGCAACACCACCTATGAACACCACACAGCCGAATTACCTTACAAGATCATAAACATAAAAATACATAGATAAATAACTGCTCTTTCACGTCAAACATGTATATAGTTACAGAATGCGTTGGGAGATTGCTCACGGGCTAGGTCGCGCGATCGCATTCAGTCGGGCTCTTGGTGGAGAATGCGGGTGGCTCATGCACTTGCCACCTGATATCCCCAGTGGTGACCCAACTCAGGGATCCTCCTCATCTCTGAATTGGGCCGCCACTGGGGAGTATCAGGTGGCAAGTGCACGATCGCACGACCCTGCCCGTGAGCAATCTCCCAACTCATCTCTGCGATAACAAACATCCTATAACATCTTTTAACATCTTTTACCAACAAGTCCGGTAAGCTCTGCGGCGATGCACTACCATGATGACGTGAAAAAAAAATGGACCCTGTTAAGTAATCCACCTAAATCTGGAAAAGGGGCAAAACAGAACATTGAACATTTGAATTGTGGGTATATGGTTTCTTTTAGGAATTGATCAATGTTTTTAAGGGTTTTTTTCGTCGTTAGTGAAGACCAGTGTAGTTATGTCAGTTTCCAGGTAGTGGAACGTCAAATTTTCCGAGTTTTCAATTTGATAGGTTTTCCGCGTTGTCTGAGATTCACGAAATTGCGTTCTCCATGTTGTTCCATTACCGATAGCGCTGCCACCAGCAGAGAAAATTTCAAACAACGTTCTGTATCCTTTTTTTTTACGGACACGAGCTTCCGTAAGAGACCCTGTGCAGTTCGTCCCACCTCTTGGTCTCTAGTTTCCATGCACGCGAGTTTCACGCAGTTTCACGTGATGAAATAATATTCTTGCTCTACGAATTATTATTGTGAATTAAGCGACAGTTAATGTGAGTGCAGTGTCAATCGCCATTTTCATCTAATATGCAATTTTTAGACGTGTCTCTGTTAGTATTTTCAAGGTATTCTCTAGTGTAGCATGATTTCGATCCGGTAACCTAACCTAATGATACATTCCGTACTCGGTTATGTTTGTAATACTTGGTTACAATTACAACTGAAAGCATGAACGGAAGTTTAAGAACTCATTATATTTAAAAATATAATATGTTTGTTTTAATATGTCTGTTCTCTCTTCATTCAGGTAATTGTGAAATAGGAAATTTGTTTGTTTTCAGAGAATTACTGCAAAATTCAAAGCAAGAGGTAGAAGTGGTTTTTTTGAAGAAACATGTGATGCAAGCTCTTAAACAATTATTTGGAGAAGAAGGATCTAACTGTAAAGTTGATATATTAAAGTATAATGCTTTAGATCGTAGATTTATTTTACGCTGTGAGTCAAACCGTTACGTGCACTTAAGAGCTGCATTAACTCTTGCTAATACCTACGCCGACGTGCCCTGCAGATATACCGTACATAAAGCATCTCCAAATTTGCTTTCACTTAGTGCAAACAGCAGAACCTATATTCATCAGTCTATTGAATAACAGGTATTTACTTGAGCATTTGAATGAATTGGCACATTCTTTTTTTTAGAGCTTATCGATTTGGAAAATAAATTTGCATGTTATTGCATATTGTAATTTGTACGTTAACTCAATCATGGCAATATAAATTAATTTCTGATGCTTATATCTGCAGTTAGCTGTCTAATATACAGATTCAATATGCCAATCGTACGAAAGGAGGGTAAAGATACAATCATTTTTGCATCTAAAGAAGATCATGCTACACCAAGCAAAATTGATCTTCCTGAACCAGAACCCAGTCCTGGATTGCTATTACCAAATGGAGAAATAAATTGGAACTGCCCTTGCTTAGGTGGAATGGCAACAGGACCATGTGGATTAGAATTCCGTGAAGCATTTTCTTGTTATCATTACTCTACTAGCGAGCCAAAAGGATCCGAGTGCTATGAAGCATTTAAAACAATGCAGGAATGCATGTCTGCATATCCAGCTTTATATGGAAGCAAGGAAGCAGATATAGACGATTTTGATGATGATGATGATTCTCGTTCAATTGCAAGAGATAATGAAGATCACTCTAAGAAAAACAATGAACGTATAACTAACGATACTAAAGAAGTATCAAAACGTGATATGAAAGACTTGCAACAAGGCAAATCGGTCGCATCAAGCTCCAGACAAGAAGTAGGAAATATTAAAAATGCATTAAGTAGTTAAAACCGAATGATCGGTTATTAGTGTTATTGTCAGTTGATGCTCTCATAACGATTGCACTATTTTATTTGTCCTGTAAAAAATAAACTCTATGTACTTGCCATACTTTACGTAAATTTCTAATTCCAGAAATCCCTGTTTAATTTCTTGTCTTTAACATTTTCATTTATTTTCAGTTCAGTATTTCATTTGGATTTAAAAACTGGTGTTCATTTATGCAAGCTGACTATAGAGATTTAGTTTATACCAGTCACTTGGTATGCATATTAAAAATGTACGCATACCGACACTGCTCGCTTTTGATGGTAACGGAAAAACACTCGTGGCGCCCTCTTTGACTTTACCTTTCACATACCTTATTTATTTTATTCGCAAATGTTATTACATACAGGCAAATACAGGCAAAACTACAACGTGGGTGCTCGAGAGTTGAGTTATATTTAATATACAATTAGTATACGTACGTAGAGTAATATACAATTTTCATAAGCCACGGAAATTAATAAAAAAATAATGAATGTTTGTCATTTCATTGTTACTTCATCGTGCAACATTTACGAATATACCACGGGGCGCCGAAATTTTAAAAGCGGAACAGCGCAATAAAAGAACCAGTTGAAAGGCAATTAAAAAATGCGATCGTTGTCGAAGCACGTGGCACAAAAGTCAACATGGCCCAACATGTCACATCGAAAGGTTCGGTGAATCGTGGTGCTTCAGAAGTGGCTGACTATAATATCAGAAAAGGAGTTGGAAACTTCACTTTTCATAACGGAGATAAATATCAAGGGGAGTACCGAGTGTACAAGGATAAGCAATATATTGTTAAACAAGGCACGGGTCTAATTGTCTTTTTGTAATAATCCCTCTCTTAATGCCTCTTTTATCTACTATTTATGATTAAGAAAATGTCCTTCAACTCAGAATATGGAGTCTACACTACTGAAAACTTCGAAACGTACACAGCGAAGTGGAACAACGATAAAATTCAATCTGACCTATGTATACGGTAATATTAAATCGTATTTCAAAACCGTGTCATGTATCGTACAGGGAAATAATAAATCCATATATCTTGTCTGGAGTCAAGACATAATTCTCGAGAGTTTCTAATTCATCCTTGCTCTTGACAGTTACAACAATGATGCAGAATATAGAGGGAGCTTAGACGCAACCAGTGGAATGGGCGGACATGGAATTTACACATTTCCCGACGGTTCTTCCATGGAAGCATTATGGATCCAAAATCAGCCAGCCAAGGATGTAACATACAGGGAACCTCGTGGATTCATCTGGAAGGGTCAAATACTTCCTGAGATAAATGTGAGTCCTTAAAATTATTATTCAACGGCATTATAACATTTAGCTGAATTAATAGCAGACACTATTACATTGTTAGGAAATTCATTTCATTGCTGGAAATCATTTCTGGGATGCCGTTTATGTTCCACCACCACAACCAAGCAAGAATGAAGACAATTTAGGAATAACACCATCGTCAGAACCTTTTGAATCAGCCTCAACGTTACGTAGCAAACGAAATCGTCGGTCTAGGAACAAATTGCTGTCTTGAATATAAATAACGGGATAAGAATCTAGAATATTGGGTTTAAAAAAAACAAAAGTCTTTTATTTACGTTCGCGTGAAAACCATAGGATCAAGAATGTCAGCTCTTCCTGTAAAATAATTTACGTTAATTCATATTGACAATGGTTGCTATTCGGCACCTGGACTCTTGAACCTTTGATTTCAGCTGTACTTCTATATAATTGCAATCAGCTGGAACAAAGTTTAACAAAACTCTCGGACGGGATACAGTCAATATTAAATTAAACCTAGGTAACAAACGGAAAGATCGATTTCTTCTTTGATAAATGAATAAAACGAGTCATGATATTGAATCTCAACGGTCGGCGTTAGTAAAGAATTTTTATAATGGTCACTACGGCAGCCAGAAGAACGATGACACTGAACACAATGATAATGATGCTGCAGATAACAATCATGATGGCGACAACGATAGTTACGAACGTATTGTAATGTTAATGATCGTATTGGAATTAATAATTCTACTCGAAATAACAGCGTTACAGTAATATCACAGCGTAGATTTCTCGTCTGCAGGCTCCTCCTTTATTGTGTGGCTGCAATCCATCAGGGCAGGATTTGCCACCGCAATAATATTATCTCCACGGGATGCGATTACCTGTAACAAGATAATCACCTAATTAAACCTAAACTCTCGCACACATGTCCAAAAAAAAAACTATAAATAACCGTGTGAAACTGGTAATGCAGTAAAAAATATTATTTTAATAGTCAAGGGTCAGGACCTTCAGGTTGAAGTCGCTTTCTTTATCCGTCACGTCGGCCTCTGCTTCGTTCGTGTCCTGCAACAAATTATATTAAAGATCATTTATAGTTAATAAAAAATGTCAATTGCTGTAGACGTTCATGCAGCATTCGGACGTAATAATAGAAGAAAAGTGACTCACGTGTAGAGACGACGATTCCTCGTTGGAGAACGAAAACTGGCTATCCGAGTCACTGATCTCCTCTACGCTCGTGCCAAACATACCGTTGTTACTCTTCCTGTGCCAAACTGGACTGAAATATTGCGAATATCTGAACATTATTGTATACTTGCGGGGACACCGAGGTGAAACGAGAGAGACGGACCTCGGTCTCGCTTTGAACTTGTCAGCTGGTCGTTATTACGAAGAATGACAAGTAACGTTCAAATCATTTTGATAAGGTAACGCTATTAGCAGTAAATATGATCAGCCGACAAAGAAAGGTCGATAAAACATAATCACCTCGACGAGCCATGCCTCCTGATACCGGAACTATTAACGTCTGCGCCGGAACAGCGAAGATCCAACTCGGCCTGGAAAAGGGAACTGCTACAGACAGTAGGATAAACAGAAATTGAAAAGCTCGCGAAAGAGCTAGAGTCATTTGACTCGAGGATCCACAACCAATCCCAAACGCAAACACGGTGCCTCCTGGCCGTAGACGCAAGGCATAAGGTCACGAGGTACGTGTTTTGCGATACTACCTACAAAGCCAGGGAATTTCGCATTCATAAACAAACCAAATTTAACCCAGCTAGATGTGAGAATACCTTGACGAAGATAAATGCATGCAAAATTAAGCGCTACAAAATTTTAAACGGAAGAATAATACTAATTTCCCGTTATAAGAAGAATCATGCAACAGTAACGATGTAGTACCAAAATTCATGGAAAAAAAATCCGCTATTTAGCGCAACGATCCATACTATAATTAAGTCAAAGACATTTCAGTCAAGTACTACCAATATCACACGATCATCCAGCTTCATGGACGAATCAAGAATCATCTCACGCCATCGCTTTCGCGGGTTCGGGGTCACGGGGCGAATTGGTAGCATTGATATACTTGACCTTTTTATACTCCAAGGTAGCGAGATTGTGAGTAGCGATTAATGGTGCTACGTGCTGCGAGTATGGTTAGTTAGCGTGGCCATGCTAATCTGGTAGGTCTGGTCCGGAGTTCGTGTATTTCTGTATTTTGGGTCGCGGTGAGCTAACCTGCGTCGCGTCCTCATCCTCGCCCTCACCCTTGAGGTCGAGATGTCGCCTCTTCGACCGTTCGGTCTCCGACTCGTCACCGTTCTCCCTAGTCCTCGTCATGGACAGGCTAAAACGTAACAAGATTCAATACATGATTTTTCCCTCCGTTTTCAGAAAACGCAAAACCCTCCGACCGAAGGAGCGAAAAAAGAACCTATGCGCGTCCTCGGGCACGAACGAGGGAGGAGCGAATCGAGGAATCCGCAGTCTACGCCGCTATGCGAAATAACTGCAACGCAGTCGAAGCCCTTAGGGGTAAGACTCACTACTGGCTCTTAGAGTAATGGTACCCGGAATCCCTGACGACTCGTCTCGCCAAGGGGAAGAGCTCGTCCCTCCTGGTGAGCAGGGCCGGCACGAATCTGCAGATCTGGGCCGCAGCCTCGTTCACCGACACCTCGTGCAACGTCAGCGGCTTCTCCGGTTTCCTTTTGCAGTCGAACCTCCCGTATATTGCGGCATACTTCCGGATTTCCTCCATCCTCCTAGGGTCGCTGTCAGGCATGGCCATCACCATCTTAAAGAAACGGAACGAGTTCCTCAACCGAACCGCCTTTCGACTCCGAGTATCCGATCGGAGCCCCGTAAAACATCGCAAAAGAGACTATTCCGTCATCAAAATACCGTCCATCTACCCACGGGAAAGAGGGAAAGCGCACCTCGAGATTCTTGCATATCTTCTTCTTCACGTTATGCGGCTTGGGGTCGAGGGGTCGTATCGTGGCGGCCAATCTCTCCGCAGCTTCGGCCAGCCGTTGCACCTGCGACTGCAGCAACGTTGGCGTGGGTTGCGTGGGGCTCGCAGGTGCTCCACCTGCGCTGGGGCTGGGCGTCGTTCCACTTCCGCAGGACGACTCGCACGTGCCAACCTGCTCGCCGAATCCTTCTCTTAATTCAATCGATTACATTTCTAGAAACATCCTAAAGACATTTCGGACTTAACCGTTCCTTCATAAAGAAGAATCGCTAATTTTTATTCCATTCATTTAGGGACTCGATGGATCGACGTCGGGTGTGCAGGAATTACCTGGAGTATCCCAGGGCTGTGCGAGGCCGCGTAAGGTGGAGGCGCGTTGGGGCTGGGGCTCTGCCTGAAGGTGGAAGAGGCCACGGGGGCAATAACGGGAGTAACAGGCACAACGGGACTGGCACTACGGCAGGGTAGAGGCGTCAGCGGAACGTGCGTTGCGACGTAGGGCGCCGGCGTCTGCGAGATTGCCTGGAAGCTTGAGTTCACTTGGGGCCTCGGGCTGACGCAGGGGAACCCCACGGTGGTGGTCTTACAGGTGGCACTGGGCGGCACGACCGGAGTCTGAAACAAGGCTGGAAAGCCCGGTAATTCGGAATGATTACACTTAAAAGTTATACTACGGAGGATTTGTCACGGCTCGATGCACAAAGTACGCCAGGTCGAGGTACCAGGATTTGTCAGCCACTCTTGAAGAGCTTTCTGAAGTCTCCTCACGTGAAGCGGCTTGCTGGCCATGCCGACCAAGGCCATGATCTCCAGAAACTCCTCCTCGCCGGCGTCGCAGAGCTGCTGCACGTCGTCACCACCTGGTTTCGGTAAATCATTAGTGAATTACCGTAGTCATTCATTTTTCAGACCATGATTGAGATCTAATCTTCAACTCACCCATTTCCAGAAGAGTGTCGTAGTACCCTAGAAGGGAGGCGCGTTGCATTACTCTGTAGAGCTGCAGCTCGGCCTCGTTCTGGGGGACCGACGTTTGCACCACTGAAAAATGACGACCGGAATAATTACACGTGACTCCTCGAGTGGACTTGAGGTGCGGCGATCATAATCCCAGTGTATCAATTTTATTAACCAGAAAAGTACAGAGAGGGCTCTGGAGCTGGAGTTCGTGCGGCGCATGGAGGGTACGACCGTGATTCTTGAGGCATTGGATGGATTTATTTATTCTTCGGGATTTATAGACCCATGAAAAAAAAATTAACAACTAGGGGGCACAGCCACCTGTATGCTCGAGACTTCGGCCTTAGACCGGAGGATGAGCGTCATTACGCTCCTTAAACGCAAGAACTCGAGTCTTTCTTGTAACAAGCGGGATTGCGACGTACTCGCGAGCTCATCTCACGTGCCACCGCAAAGGGGTCGCTAAACAATCGAGTATTTAATTCTCGTGTCGTATTGCAACGTAAGAAAGTACGCTTAAAGTAATCTTAACTCCCGCTAGGTAGGGGGATGATAAAATAAATTATCGAGTGATTTACCGCGGACGTTTCTTTCGGTCCCCCTCGGGGCACTTTATTAAAGTGCACTTGTTAAGAAGCCGGAGATCGGTTATCGATAGGAGGCAAAAACCGGGAATTCTTCCCAAAGAATATCTCACGTATTACCCTTTCTTGCTAGTTCCATACCTCGCCGTTGCAACATATCCCCACATTACCTTCCACACATCCGACTGTGCGGGGCATATCCCGCGTTTCTTCCTCGCGTCGCCGCTTCTTACCCCCCAGATGTTTTTTTTTTTCCACGAGTGTAACGGACTCGAAACGCGCGTCCCGCGAGCGGATTGCAGGTGAAATTTCGCGGGTAAAAAAGGGAATTACGATGCTGCGCGCGCGCACCATCCGCGGGAACGCAAGTGAGCGTAAAGTGGGGATGGCAGGTTTTTCGATCGAAGAGTCGCCGTTCGTTTCGCACACGTCGCTCAAAGTCGACATAAGACGCAGCAAAAATCCTACTTTTACGTGGGAAATCGTTCAGATGATATGAAAGGCGCTGAGAAATTTAATCGAGGTCGAGAAATTAAATTTCACCCATTCTCGTTTTGGTGGGAACGTAATTTTGAATATTCAAGTGGGAACATAAGCTGGCGCGTCCCGTTCCCGACATTTATATTTAAGTTCAAGTCTTTTACGGTCTATGTTGAGAATTATACGGACTGAAGCGTTCCATATGTCATTTCGGTAAAGTAATGATGAAGAGATCGACGTAAAACTGTCGAAATACCGTGAATTCATTATTCTAACGACTGTTTAGGACCAACGTCGCCATCTGTGACGTTTAGCTGCAACTAAATTTTTGTTCTAAAAACACGTGTTAGCCCCGAGACAAGCCAGCATTCTCTGGCAATCGTTGGTGAAAGTATTTTCCATATTTTCCTACCTGAGTCTGTGATATTTCATTTCTGCGGTATTCTACATTATTCGAGGTAGGTCCTGAAACTCTTCATTTCTTATTCTAAGTCTTCAAAGAGCGTAAAACATCGAAAACGTGCCTGGACCATGCCATGGTGGTTCTAGTCCGTGATAAATAAACAAATTTTGGATGAAAAATGAAATTTCATGAGTTTAAGGACGTACTTTGGGGCCTCCATATTCACGTGGTAAAAGTTGAAACGAATCGGTATACCCAATTTGAAGAATACTTTCCCCAACGATTTGACCTTTCGATATATATAGGCTTTCATATCACCTTAACACCGTTTAATACCAAATTTCTAACTGAATTCAATATTTTATATTTAAAAGTAGAACATAATATACTTCGCGCTCGCTTAGAAAATTAGGGAGGTATTATACGGTGCAATATACACGTAGAAAAGCATATTACATGACGTATTATACCTACCCATCCCTGCAAACACTCCCTCCGGCCGCGTAGCGTGTCACCCTCCCCCACCACCCACCCGGCTTCCGCCCCTCACGTGGGCCGGCTCTCCCCCACTCCGCGCCGGGCCCAGCGGCCGGTCAGTCCGCGAGAGGCAGGCGAGCGGTCAGGGTGCTCGACTAGTTTCTTGCAAATTTCGAGGAACTGCGAGAAAAAGCGGCGCGCTGCCCGGCGTGCACACACGTACCGCGTATAAATTAATACCGGGTCGGCGGCTGCGGGAGAGGGCCGGCGTAGGCCGAGGGGAGAGGGCGGGCGAAAAAACTGGACGTCGGGTCTTATTACGAGCCGGGGCCCGGTCTCACGCTTATACGAGAGCGCGCCCCGCAGGGCCCGCCGAGTGCTACGCTCCTGGTGAGATTTTTGCGAACCCGCTCGGGAGAGGTTCGAAAAGAACGCACCTATCCCTGGGTATGCCCGGCCGAGGGAGGAGAGTACCGATCAGACGGTGGAAATTAGGGCGAACCGCGCCATCGGCGATAGTGGGCATCCGACGCGGCACGATGCCCACGTATAGGAAAATCACGTATGGGTGATACCTAAGAGAGATACGGTGGAACCGAAGTGCAGTCCATCTTCGATAAACTAAAGGTCGCGATAGGTTATGGTGGATTTAGGTTAAGTTCATGGTTGGATGCTGTACTTAATAAAGATGTAACTCCTTTCTCACCGTAATTTATTCCCCCGTTCCATTAATTTTGATCTGACGTAACGAACGCTGCTCGTCCGTTTCGGCGAGAGGGCGGGCGCTACCCGGATGGAAGTGACTCCGCGTTTGGAGGTTAGGTCGATTTTCCTCCCCTTTTCCTAAAGAGCTAGTCCTGCCAAGAGACTGACGCGAGCTCGGGTACGCGGCGATCGGCCTGTCCGTCTAGTCTGTCATTTACATAACGACTTTTTTGGCACGGGGCTCCGTTTTTATCACACGGGAACGCGATGCGAGGCCGGGTCATTTCCAGTCGTCTCTCCCGGCACGCGGTCCCAAGACGTGGGGAGAAAACCTGATCCCCTCCGACCGTCCGGGACCCAGATCGGATCGCCATCTTCGCGAGCGATCGCGAGGTGCGTCACTCCGGTGGAAGATCCGATCGAGGGAGATTCGAAGGAGTGAAAATTCGCCCCCTTCCCCCTAGCTCTAAATCAAAATCGACATCTATTAGGACACCCTCTGTCCAAGGTATCAATTAATAAATCGTGCGGAAGGGCGGCTATCTCAAATTTCGTTCAATTTCTCAGTCTTCCACCCTGGAGGCACTCCCTCGGCGCTCTCGGTGAATGGCACTTCTTCGTAAAAGTGTTGCCAAGATATGCATTGGTTGCGTTTGGTTGCCTTAAAATAGTCCGTAATAACCAGGAAGTTCGTTGGTCAATAAAACGACGCGGTGTGTGCAGGCACCGGGATTAATAGCTCGTTGGAAATATGCAGTAAATCTCCCGTAGAAAGTATCGGTAGGCATTTCTTAACCACTCTGCGCGAGGGAAGTCGAGTTCCGAGCGGTATTAATGCGCCTGATTGAGGGATTTTTAACCGTTCGCAGCATGCATGAGATAAGAACTGGCGGAACTGTGCGGCTGGGACTGCGCCCGATTTTCTTGCTCCTCGGGCAATTTTATAAAATCCAAGGCAAATTAGGTCCTATCGTCCTATCGTTCTATCGGTACTCCGACTACCGACTAGGGCTCAACTCCATGTCTTCGGCCGAATATCTAATTCGCCAATACGATTAAATTAGAACCCTTATTCAGGGTTGGGTAATTTCGCGTTTTTCGAGGTTTTTCACGTATGTTACGTAAGAGAGTAGCTTACCGGAGAAAATCGTAGAAAATCAGTAAATTACGGGTCCAATATGAAGAATGCCCCAGGTGGACGATATACGGCTTCTGCTAAATTATAAATGTCTTTAAGGGGATGTGAAAGCGGCTTCCGAAAGCTCAATCGTTCATAAAACTTTTCTACGAACCGGGTGTCTCAAATAGTTTCATACTTTAAAACGTGAATATGGAGACCCTAAAGTAGGTCCTGAAACTCGCGAAATTTCATTTTTTATAAACTATTTTTAAAATACATATAAACANAAAACGTGAATATGGAGACCCTAAGATAGGTTCTGAAATTCGTGAAATTTCATTTTTTAAAAACTATTTTTAAAATACATATAAACAAATTTGAAAGGAATCGAAATTTCATGAGTTTCAAGATCTTCCTTATAATCTCCGTATTCACGTTGTAACGTTTCAAACTTTTCGGTAAACCGAGTTGGAAGAAAAATTTTATAAACAAAACCCCTTCGACGTCACTTTTACATTGCTTTGAGCACATACGTAAACATGAAAATATTTTAAGGAACAATGGATTAATTTGGCGCATGTATTCAAAATTGTTTAGAATTTTATGTTTTCAATATGGCGGATTCTTCAGATATATGATATATGTATTCGCGGGGTTAACGTCTTTCAGTGCACATATAAACACGTAAAAATTGTTACGGAATAATTAATTTGGCATTTGTGTTCAAATTCTTGAGACTTGACCCAGTTTAATATCAAATTTCTAATTGGATTTATTATTTTCTATTTATAAACAGAAGGGTGTAATATACTTCACGCTTGAGTAGAATAAATCTAGTCGTTATCAGGTGGATATCACGTGACGGCGCACATTGGTAAAAATGTCGGAAAAACTGGCCAAAACCTCAAAAATGAAAATTGTATTTTGAAATTAGTGATCTTCAGATTGGACAGAGGAGTAATTCGGACATTTATTGCCAAAAGGACGGAAGCCTAATTGTTATGTACGGATCGGGACGTCAATCTAAAATTGACATTCGAACGATTATTGACATCGGCCTGTAAGAAGAAAAATTTTACAAAGTTCGAGTAAGCGTGATTTATTTTTTTAAACTGTCTCTGTCCAATTCCGTAAATTGTAGAATATTGCTGGAGAATCGTAGAATATTTTATACCTCTTAAAGTGTATTTTATATTGGTTAAACAGTTTTTATTATCGCATCTAATTATTACTTTATTCCAATGAGGTATTCTAACATTTTATTTTCAATTACTGAAAAAGTTATGAATTCAGGAATATTCCGCGGGGTTTCAAGCGAGAATCTTTAGCTTATCCTATTGTTCGTTTAAATTAAAAGGCATTGGCTGGTGATACATGCTGTCCTTGTACCAGTAGAATGAAGGAAGGTATTTTCGTAATGCACGTTATTGATCCCTTAATTCCCCGTTTCTGATATTTAACGTGTGTACAATTTTACATTTAGCAATAGAGTTTTAGAACTGAAAAATATACAAAACAACGATAAGGTATAAAATTTAAAAAGTTAAAAGGACTTTAAATATGGATACATTTCGTTAGGGTGTTCTCCTTTGGTTAATTTTTCATTTGTTAATTTTGCTTCCTGAACAATGAAAGAATTAAGATAAAACTGATGAAATACAATATTAAAACAGAAGGATTTGCCATTCAGGCAGATAAATAGTTTTGATCAAGTTTTTCCTCATTTTCGCTCATGTGCGGCGTCGCGTCGTCGAGGCGCGCGGCGTAGTTCGCCGCGCGGCCGCCAGGAGCGCTGCTGCGCAGAGATGAGGACGGGCGCGGGTGGGTGTGCGTTCATTTTCACTAAAGGTGAGTAAATTCACCGCGGGTGTGTACGAAATCTTTGGCGTTCCTTCGCAAAACGTGCCGACATCGTAGGACGCGCATTAAGCCTCGTCGGTCCGGCTTTATTTCGGGGAAATCGACGAGTTCCAGAAAGATGTCCGACGCATTTTCGCTTCCTGGCAGAATCGCCGGGCCACGGCGAGTAGGTGCGTTCTTTGTCCGATACTTCACGAAGCCGGGCGCGACGGCGCAAAAACGGGTCTAGTTTCTTAGGAGCGCCCGTTCGCGCGGCGGCGGTTAGTATTTCGCTTTTTGCGGGCATTGTAATCAAGGAAGGGTTAGGTGAGTTTTTGCTCGGTGCTCCCGCCCGGACAAAACATCGGGCAGATGGACTGAGTCGCCGCTGGCCCTCCCCTCCGCCGCCCTTCCGCCGCGTTTACCGGCCCCCCTACCGCCCTCTTCGACCTCCCACCACCTCCTGCACTTTGGACCA